TGTGTGCTGTAGCAGGGCAGTTGTTAAAATGTTCATTAGTGGTAACTAGGATAACCCATCAGTAAAAAGGAAGGCCCTGATGAATACAATAACTCAGATACTTGCTAGGCTCAGAAAAAGCCAGTAAATACAGGACAATGAAATTGGGTGGCGGCTGCTGCTGAATGCTATCAATTTACTCGGGAAAGACAAAGAAAAGCTGATGTGATTAATCACCAGGCTAAAGCAAAATGTGAAAGCCAGAATATTCTCCTTGGCTGAATTAGAAGAGACTCTCATTTCTTATAGTCAAATATAAAAAGCTGAGGGTCAGACCCAGGACTTAATTTAAAAGACAGAGAAGACTCTAGAGAAGATTGAATTATCAACCTCAGCAAATCTGCTATGCCAGAGTCAGGGTCCTGATTGAGAAGGGGTACAGCCCGAAGGCTTGAGATGAGGAAAACCGGGTCAATGCACTTGAAAAATTTTAATCTATATATTCCTCTGTATTATTTATGTCTTCAAAACTGGTCGACTCTTTCGTACTAAAGGTCAGTCTTTCCCTTTTCCTTGCAAACAGTGCAGGCCTCTGTCTCGTAAGACAATATACAACCCAGTCACTTAGGATCCACTCTGCCTCTAGTCTTGATGAAAGACTAAAAGGGATAAGTCGCCGTATAGTCTAGCCAGATATGTGCTGGGCCTACAAAGGGAGAAAAAAGGATAATGTGCTAAAGGAACTACAGGACTTAGCTAACAAGTACTGGCAAGAGCCATGTATGTATGGCTCATGGCAAGCATTGTGTCATGATACAGGTAATATGCCCTGCAAGGATGACAGAGGATAGAACTAACATCCTGCTAGGTGGGCTCTTCAAAGTTGAAAGTAAGTGATGGCTTTCACCAAGTGAGATACAAATGCCAAAATTAAGATGGCAGAGAGTGGAAGAAAGGATCAAAATACTCAAAGAAGTTGGCCTACAAGAGTTGATAGACCACATAGGGCTTGAAAACTTACCTATGAGTATATCCTGCAAGAATCTGCGTGGAAAACATTTTGTTGTCCACAGCAATAAGGTGAGAAAGACACATATTGTTGTGAAGGTCAGTGGTGACTCTCTGAGGACCAGGACCGACGGTAGAAGATATTGTTGTGTAATACAGAAAAGACGGCAGATTAGACATTGACATCCAGTACCTGAAGCATCCCTTATAAAATGGGAAATATAGAATCCTGAAATAGGTGGCAGTGCAGCAAAGTCACAGGAGCAGCCAGGGGCAGCTGACTCTCAGAGATATGTCGATATTTAATAGAACATGACAGGCCTAGGGGAAAAAAAAGCTGGACAGCTGACAAGGATATTGCTCATTTGTAAAAATCAAAGGAAGTTAAGGAGGGATTATTAGAAGGTCGAGGTTTGCTATCTCCCATGAAATATTACAGTCGTGTACCCCAGTTTCATGATCTGAGCCAGTTTTCAGTTCCAGAACCCACTGACTAAAAAGACTGGTTCCCCAGGAGGGAGGACTTTGCAAAACCAAGCAAGCATTTTGTGATGTAACAATTCCCAGTTTTTACTCAGATGGCCTTACATCATTTATCGTGAATAACCATAAACTGAGGAAAGGGTAATACTCAGATATTTACAAAACAGTGGGGCATTGGAGGTTCCAATGATATTGTTACACAGGTACCTGCAATTTCACCATAGTCCCCCAGTTAAGCAGGAGCATATATAGGCAGGTAATAAATGGAGTCCTGGGTACACTGATTACATGCACCCACTAGACATTTCTCTCATTGCCAAATGCATACTTAGAATGCAAAGACTACATTTAATTCCACTGGCCTGTGGAATAAGAGCTATTGGAATGGAAAATGTTAAGTAGAAGCCTCTGAAACTGTTTCTGAACCTGGCCAAGACAGTAAACCAAGAAAATTTTGCATAAAATTTGCTTAAAGTCAAAAAAGATGCAGGAATGATGGTTCCCATCATTCCCCCAATTTAATTTGGTAGCCTTGCTTCAGCAACAAAAAACTCAGATGAATTCTGGAGGATGACAGTGACCTACTACAAACTCAACCAAGTAGTAGCCGCAATTGTGGGAGCTATGCCAGATGTAATAAACTTTTAAAGGAAGACAGAATCAGAAATAGCACCATGCCAAACCAACCTGAAGCATGGGACAAAAGAAAAACTTAATGCCAATATTGTCCTTAACAATTTTAATATTTTGCTCATCATGGATTTTTTGTACTAATTTAACTTTTAAAAATATTTACCTTGTAATATTTATCTTGATTACTGATTTTTTGATGTTCTCTCAAAGTTTTGTATCTGATGCAAGTGTCTTACTCACTACATATTAGTCCCGGCTCTGTATATCATGGTTCCAGGAACTTGGTAAACAGTCACTGTTTTGTTGAATGCATTATTTCCCATCCCTAAAAATATGGCTAACCAGAAAAAGTGAATATTCACATGTGATGGACACATATATACATTTGCAGTGCTATCCTAGGGATATGTTGATTCTTCTACCCTATGTCATACATGTAGTCTAAAGAAAACTAAACTGTTCAAACATATAATATTACATTGGTCTACTATTTTAATGGCATTGTATTGAGTGGACTATATGAGGTAGAAATATGTATGTTGGTGGCCTTGTTAAGACACATGTAGTCCAGAGGATGGGAAATTATGGCATTCCCTATAAACTCTATGAAGCTTCAGGGACATGCTATATCAATAAGCTGTATGGTCTGGTATATGCCAGATCATCTCCACAGTAAAGGAGGGTTTGTGTGTCTTTCGTCTCCCACCACTAAGAAGGAAACATGATTCCTGGTAAACAAGTAACATGGAAAACCAATATCTTTGAGTTGGACACAGAGTAAGAAGGGACTCTTCAGGAAGTTCTGGTTTTGACACAAGTAGCCATGCCACATAGACCTCTTGTTTGAAGACAACAAAGCAGACTGTATAATATTAGAGATGTCTGTGGTAGGCAAAAATCACCATGGGGAGTTATGGCATGACCCAAATGGAGAACTGTAATGTGGACTCTTTAGTATTCTGGAGCAAGGCTGTGCCATCTGCAACGAAAAATCATGTTCTATTAGACAAACAGCCAGGGCATGCTAGGGGTCTTGATAGAGACAGGCCACCTGAATGGACATCGAGTAACCATGCAGAGCTAGATTCTGCCAAACTAATCTAGTCATAGGTTGCTGAGGCCCAGTAGCAATTAATCATGCCAGCATCAGGCATGAACAGGGCCAGAGGGCACAAGGAAGCAACACAAGCAGGTGGCTCAGACTCCATGTCATCTACCATTGTCGCCTTGGCACATCTCCCTTAGCACTTAACATTCACCTGCTGGGTATGGGGAATTTGTTATGAATAGCTGATGGAGGAAGAAAAAGGCTAAGCTTAAGTTATAGATGGATTGGCTTAGTATGCGAGACAGACATAAATGTACTGTGCTACAGATCAACACAGGGGTGAGCCTGAAGAGAGAGGTGAGGAGAAATCTTCCCAATGGGTATAACTTTGAGGAGTACATATGCGGGAGAAAAGTGGCCTGAGGTTAGAATACATATGGGCTCACGAACAGTGATGGATGAGTCAGACCATTAATCAGGAGTTTGGAAGAATGATTTTAGGATTGGAAAAAATATTTTTGAGGACAAGGTATATAGATGGGCATATAGGAGTAGGCATGAAGTACAAAACAACAACAAACAAAACAAAATGTGTAATGCATGATAATTCTCCCCATGGATTATCCATCACATAAGAAGCACTAAGCAATCAAGTATACAGGCTGGTTGGGAACATCCAGGCTCTGTCATCAGTCACCCGGTTTTGGTAAAATGGAACCATAAATGGAATACCCATGGGAGGCAGATATGTTGTTCATAAATGGGATCAATAGCATGGGCTCCTATTCAGTAACTGATCTAGTGACTGCTGCTCCCAATGTACAACCTGACAGCAACAGTGCACGATGCAGAGACCTTTCCTCATGGAGACCAGCAAGTTATTTGGTAGGAAAGTGATTCGATCAAACCCTTAATATACTAGAAAGGGGAGCAATTTATCTTGACTTCTATTGACACATAACTCCATATTTGTGGATTTACCTTGTCTACAGGACCATATTCAGCCCCACTATTTAAGGGCTTATAGATTATTTGTTTCATCAACATAGAATTCCCTTTGACATTGTTTTGAATCAAGGGACACACTTTATGGCACACAGAGTGTGACTGTTGACATATGTCTACTTGGTCATTGGGCTTTTCATAAACTGTACCACCCAAACTTTTGCAGCCTGGCTGCTTATTCAAAAAGGATTCCTGCATCTCAAAATAAAGGAATGGTATCATATAACCTTCTCCCAATAACCCGTTTGAGGAATTTGTGTTTCTCATCCCCATAGCTTTTGACTTTGTGGGTCTAGAGGTCCAGATTCTCAATGGGAGAATCCTTCCACTAGGCCATGTAGCAAGTGTCCCATTATACTTTAAGCTGTGGCCACTGCCTAGGGGTTTTGGAGTTCTTTTACCAAGAAACTAGCAAGTGTGAAAAGAGTTACTCACGTGGTAGGGAAATTGATGTACATCACCAAGGAGACATAAAATTGGTGGCTATACAATGGGTGCAGTAGGGATGGATGTATTTCAGATCCAGGAGATACAACAGATAATCTCTTGGTTATCTCTTGTCCAATTGTGAGAACAAATGGGCAACTGCATCAGCTGCTGTCTGAGCAAGCACAGGACTAGAGACTCTTTCACCTCAGGGACGAGGGGCTAGGTCACCAAGTAAGCCACTCTTCTTTTTCTGAGACAGAGTCTCACTCTGAAGCTGGAGTGCAGTGGCGCAATCTCGGCTTAGCGCAACCTCCAACTCCCGGGTTCAAGTGATTCTCTTGCCTTAGTCTCCTGAGAAGCTGGGATTACAGGCTCATACCACCACTCCTGGCTTTTTTTTTTTTTTGGACTTTTAATGGAGACCGGGTTTCGCCACGTTGGCCAGTCTGGTCTCAAACTCTTGACCTCCGGTGATCTGCCCGCCTTGGCCTCCCAAAGTGCTGGGATTACAGGCGTAGAGTAAGTCACTTTTGTCAGCAGAAATGAATCTGGAATGAGTAGGAAAGGAGGGAAACAGTATCAGCTGTGGCCTCCTGACTAGTTGTAGCAGCAGGAGCTGTAGTTCCTTTCACTAACCTTACTAAGTTTTGTTAGAAAAAGAAACAAGCTTGAAACCTGGAGGAGCTGTTCTCAGATGAAGTTTATTTACTACCTAAGTAAGTAGATCCAAGTCGCACAAAGAGTGGTCAATAGTGAATCCTATGTTGCATTACTCTGATTTTTCTTTAGGATCGAAACATTTATTACCCCAGCTGCCAGGAAGCTTTGGCTGCTGAAGACCTACAGAGGAATCTTTCCCAAAAACGTGCCCTCAGTTTGAGTCCACTGACGGGTTGATATGGAAGTAAAAAGCCTAGTATCCTTGCTTTAACTGGGGACAACTCTGAAGGGGCACCAAAGCTCTATAGCACCCCATTGGACTGTCTGAGTCTTTGCTGCAACTGCCGCTGCTTCCTGTGCTCAACCTGACTCCCCTCAGACACTGACGGATGTTGTTCTGGGAGCACTCCCCACTACACTTCCTGCATTCGAATCTCAGATGCTCAAAGTCTGTTGTCTGGAGAAGCTGACCTAGACAGGATTCCTTCAAATCACCAGGATTTGTTTAATGTAAGTAACTTTAAAGGAGTTTTGCACCAAAATGTTAAAAAGTAAATCTGTTGCATAACCATGTTTTTCTCTCTGTATATTTTCTTATTTTAGTTGCTTCTTCATTACTTTTAATTTCTGTTTCTCTTTATTTTCCTTTTGCCAACTTCAGTTAATATCATGGAAAAAATAAAGGTTAGGAAGATTGTTTTTTTTCTTGGCCTTACTATGAACCAATCCTCTGAACTTGGATGAATTAAGTTTTTCTGGGTAAGAGTTGATTCATTTGTTAATTGAGGGGATTATACCAGGCGACTGATCTTTAAAACATCTTGCAACTGTGAAAGTTAAATATTTTCCCTTCGTCAGTCTTTTGTATTTGAAATCACATTGCAATTTGGGTCATAGAATTGCTGAAAGTGGAGGAAGACTAATGAAGAAATCTAAAATCTTAAATCTTACAGGATAAGGTCCTAGTCATTCTAAAAATAGGTGCAAGTTTCATGAACACGGTTTGATAATGCTGAGATGATGCTAATGAGACAGAGAAGCTTCCCCATAGCAGATGACTTGCAACAAACAGACCTTGTAACACTGATGCAAATAATTCATTACATTCTTCAAGCATCTGCAGTATTTGTGACTTAAGAATTTGTAGACATGATTGCATTCATGATTCCTTCATTCAGCAATTATTCATTGAGTGCCTATTTTGTGCCCAGACTATACTAGGCCCTGGGGATATAGAGATTAATAAGATAAGATCCCAGTTCTTCAACAGCTCACTCTAGTGGGAAAAACAGGCATATACACAAATATTACAGTGCATAAGATCTGCTATAATAGAGGGTAAGCAGAATGTTGCTGATGGATTTTGTAATGATCTTATGCGGACAGGATACTTTTCTTCTATGAGGATTTACTGTCAATCAGTTTGAGTGTGTCTGCATTTTAATAAAGGCGATCTGATCACTCTATCCTAAGTCAGCAAGGCACCCCCTTGAAACCAACAATTGTCTTTATTCACATCAGCTCTGCAGCTCTACTGGGACATCATAAGTCCCTTCTTTTTATAGCAGACCTTCTCCAACTTCTATTTTAGCTTAAATATCACACAAACAATTCTTTCTGAGGACAAGCAAGGGAAAGGCCACTAATTGAAAATAGCATTTCTTAGACTAGAATTACGATTCCAGGCTGCATACCTCAAAGTGGCGAAGGGAAAGGTTGCAGAAGTAAAAGGAAAGAGAGAACTATGGAAAAAGAAAGACTATAAAGAAAACGAGGGATTATTTTATGACTAGAGATAAGTAATGTGTCGTATAAGTTGTCAGTTTACACAACACCCGCATTTTCTCCTTCCTCTTTTTAACCAATGCACAATGTTGTGCTCACTGATAGCTAAAAAGCAGAAGTTTCCTGAAGTCAATAGTTTTTTCTACCATTTCCTAAATTCTGACCTCACTGGTGAGCTCCTGCTAATGACTTGAACTGGTGGTAACTGATAGGTCTGTATCCCTGTAAAAAAGAAGGAACTTCTGGCAAACTGAGGAGTGCCTTTGAGAAGGAGGGAAGGGAGCTCATCCTAGACCATAGGGTAATAGAGGTGCATGTGTCTCCGGGTAGCAAAAAAACATGCTATGTCTTCTGAACAGGGACAATTTTATGAGTTAAACCTGATGCAAAAATGTAATTAAAATTAATTCATGTTTTGAAACATTTATTAATGGACTACTCAACTGATTTTATAATATTGTTTGGCACCTCAAATAGTGACATTCAGTAATTTTTTTCATATCTAAAAATATTTCTAAAAATTAAAAATAATATATATCATGTATGTTAAAGTCAACTTAAAATATTTTATATGAATTATCTGAATATAAAAATTAAATTATGCAGAATAGTTGTTCTCATTATATACTCATACACTTTATTCCATTTCTGTCTCTAATCCTGAGTAATTGGCATTTTTCTGAAAATACATTTTAATTGACTTATTATTAATTACTTTAAAAATCTCCTATAGTCATAAATTCAAGTGATCTTTCTATATACTGTAATACATTCAATTGAGGAAATACTCTTCCTACAGGTACTGAAGTACACGCAAGTTTAGAGAGCATTCTGCTAACTGGAGCTTATTACCAATTCTAATTCTTTCCATTTTGAAATTTATAATTTTTCAGAACAAATATTTTCACAGGCTGTCTTTCTGCCTCCATTCAAAAACCTTTTTTTTTTTTCAAAATATATTTTTAACGATAGGATGTGTCAAATTAAGTTTCCACTATTTATAATTCATCAAAGTGTTTTGTCAAATTCACATCTATAATATCCTAGGCAATCTGAATTTTATTCCACTTTGTTCAGCATGTAAATTTTTAAATTAAAAAATAGCACCTCCATCAAAAACTCATTTTCATGAATTGATGTATCGCAAATCACAAAACAAAATTTTAAAAATTAAATTGAGTTCACTATTTGTATTCTCTTAATGTGTTCAGTTCCTCCTTTGCTTTTGTGGAATACATTTGAATGGCTTTCTCCTTGTAAGCTTTTGTTCAATCATTACAGTTTGCTAAAACTTCAAAATTGGAGATTATTGGTGAGCCACTTATTGAATAATTGGATTAAGTTTTGCCAGTTGACCCTGAAGGAAATACAACTAAAATTTAGAAGTCCCACTGATATGGTTTAGATTTATGTCCCTGCCCAAATCTTATTTCAAATTGTAATACCTAATGCTGGAGGAGGGGCCTGGTGGGAGGTGACTGGATCATGGGGGCAAATTCCCCCTTCCTGGTTTTGTGATAGTGAGTTCTCATGAAATCTGGTTGTTTAAAAGTGTGTGGCACCTCCTGCCACCTCTTTTCCTCCGGCTTAGGCCATGTAAGATGTGCCTGCTTCTCCTTTGCCTTCTGCCATAATTGTGACTTTCTTGAGGTTCCCCCAGCCATGCTTACTGCACATTCTGTGGAACTGTCAGCTAATTAAATCTCTAATCTTTATAAGTTAACCACTTTCAGGTTTTTCTTTATAGCAGTGTGGGAATGGACTAAAACACTGTATAAAAGCATTTAATGCCATTGCAAGAAAACTAGAATGAATTACAAAGTAGTTGTTCAAATGTTCAAACATTCTAAAATCTGATTGATGCTAGCCAGTAGAGAGAACCTTCAACCTCTTCTAAGTTCACTTCCACATCATAAGTTCCTTTGTTTAGCTCAATTTTTTGTCCTTAATAAATTATGCTCTCCCCAAATTGGAATTCACATAATTCTAAAACCAATAAGTGAATCTCTAATTTTGCACTTTTTAAAGGAATTTATAATAACATTAAAACAATGCAGTATTTTAATCTTTAACTGAATAAACTTCCAAAGTTCCCCAATAGCTCCCCGCTCCTTCATGTTAGAATCTGTGACTTACAATTAATGCCAAGAGAAAAAGGAAGAACTTCTCAGTTCTAGTCTACGATAGTCACTTCTGGTATCCTTAGAATCCGTCTAGGCATGGCTCTACCTACATGCCTTGTGTGTGTGAATCCCAGGACACAGCTAGAGACAGCTAGTGGTGCACTGGAGTCAGAGCCTACCAGCTTGTTAGGAATGATTGTGAGCATCTCTTCCCAATTCCACATTCAGTGACTTTAATTTGGTAGCTTGAAATTGTTCATGGTAGAAATATTTACATGCAGAAATTAACAAATGCTACAAGTCGTATTTCCCAACCTCACTCCTCTAAACATTTACCAGCACTCTACTGTAGGAAGCACACAGCCTTCCTGGCACAGCATGTAGCTATTCCTGTCTGAGGATTCCCATTTGAAAATGGCTCTGCAATAGAGTGGCTCATGGTAAGAGCAAACCACAAAGCCATGTTTGGCTCGGACAATCTTGTGCTAGAGCCCTGTTCTGTTTAGCATTTGAACCTGAAATATGCACTTTTGTAATAACAGATGGAATACAAATAATACAATTAATGGTGGCATTAAAATGAATCAGCATGGGTTTGGTAGAACTCCACTGTCTACTTCCAGCTTCTGCCATGATTTTGCCTACTAGTATATAAAATATATGCTGAGGTCAGGATTTTCTCTTAACATACAGGGAAATAAAAAAGATGACCTTACAACTCCCAATCCTATTTTTCAGACCCCTCTCACACACAATATAATTTTTATTTCTCTTTCAGCTACAGTGTGTTAAGTGCTTGCCAATGATAAAGTGAAATGTGCTCATACGTGAGCAGGCTTAGGTTCAGCCACCTTCATCTGGTTTGGATGGTGGGAAAAGTTCCACACTGCCGCCCTTGCTGGACACTTAGTGAAAGTTCCACACTGCTGCCCCTGCTGGACACTTAGTGTAATAGAGTCCCATGTAACCAATGAGCGATT